TCACAGGAGGGTGACTTAGGCCTAGTGAGCCTTGATTCTAATATATTGTAATTCTGTGAGGGTCCAGCAGGAGGAAGAAACAAGGCCAGTCCCAGATGAATGCACATCTTGGGCTCAAATCAGAGGAGGCTGAGACTGTGGAGCAGTGATACTCAAATTCTTTGGTTCCAGGAATTTTTTCTACCTTAGAAAATTATTGAGGGTCCCAAAAAGCTTACAGTTAGATGTGTTTTATCTATCAGTGTCTATGTTGTTAAGAATTAAAACTGACTGGATATGGTGGCACACACCAGCAATTTGGGAGACTAAGGCAGGAGAATTACACATTTCAGACCAGCCTAGGCAATTTAACAAGACCTTGTCTCAAAATTAAAAAAAAAAAATAAAAGGGCTGGCTTCATAGCTCTGTTATAGAGCACCTCTGGGTCCAATGCTTAGTACCACAAAAACAAACAACAATAAAGCTCCTCAGAAAACAAGGCTGGGGATTTAGCTCAGTGGTTCTGCCGCCTGCCTCAGAAGCCCAAGGTCCTAAGTTCAATCCCTGGTACCAAAAAAAAAAAAAAAAACCAAACACTAGGGCTGAGGATATAAGATACGTGGTAGAGTGCTTGCCTACCTTGGGTTCCATTCCCAGCCTTAAAAAAAAAAAAAATCAAGACTGACATTCTAAAATAACTTCATTTTTAAATAAACAAATCCAATGATATACTCTTTTCATCTTAATATAAATAACATTTTTAGGGAAAAAATGAGATTTTCTAAAACAAACAATTTAGGGAAAAGTGACATGGATTTACATTGTTTTTAAACCTCTTTAATGTTAGGCTTGATAGAAGACAGCTGGATTCTCATCTGTGTTTGCATTCAATATTTTGTGCTATGTTTGGGTGGGTTTTTTTGTTTTGTTTTGTTTTTGAGACAGGGTCTTGCTATGTAGTTCATGGTGGCTTTGAACTCACTATGTAGCCCAGGCTGGCCTCAAACTCATGGTGATCCTCCTGCCTCAACCTCCTGAGTGCTGGGATTATAGGAGTGCACCAACACAAACTTTTTTTTTTTGGTACTGGAGACTGAACACAGAGCCTTGCACTGAGCTACATGCCTAGCCCTTTTTTATTTTTTATTTTTTGACAGGATCTCACTAAGTTGCTCATATTGGGCTTGAATTTACCATTCTCCTGTCTCAGCTTCTTAGAGTGCTGGGGTTACAGGTGTGCATCACCACACCTGATACCTTAAAACTTTTGATCAATATTGGTCAGTGATTTTGTAGAATGTCTCACAATTTGGGTTAGATGGGCTATTTTTTTGTTGTTGGTGCTGTGGTTGAAACCCAGGTCCTTGCATGTGGCAGGACTGAGCTATGTCTGCAGTCTTATAGGATATTTTTCACAATTAAATTTAGATTATGTGTTTTGGGCAAGAATACCCAAGTGATATTGTATTCTTTTCAGCACATTATATCAGGGGTACATAGTGATATGTCATATTAATGAGATGTTCATTCTGATGATTTGGTTAAAGTTTTATCTGGATTTCTCACTTCATACTGTTTTAAATTGTATTCAAAATATTTAAATTACCCAGGGACAATGGTGCATATATATATAAAACCCTAGCTACTCGGGAGGCCAAAGGAGAAGGATCACAGGTTTGAGGCCAGGCTGGGCCACTTAGTCAGAACCTGTTGCAAAATAAAATAAAAATAAAAAGCTGGGGATACAGCTCAATGATAGAGTGCTTGCCTACCATATATAAGGCCCAGGGTTCAATCCCCCAATACAGCAATAAGGAAAGAAAGAGAGAAAGAAAGAAAGGAAAGAAGGAAGGAAGGAAAGGAGGGAAGAAAGGAGGGAAGGAAGGAAGGAAGGAAGGAAAAGCTGAGCATGGTGGAGGATACCTATTATCCCAGCACTCTGTGAGGCTGAGGCAGGAAGACTGCAAGTTCCAACCCAATCTGAGCAACTTAGCAACTTGATGAGACCTTGTGTCAAAATCCTTAAAAAGTTTAAAAAGGGCTGAGATTGTAGCTCAGTGCAAAGGCCCTGTATTCAACCCCTCAGGAGAGCAAAAATACATACATAGATACAAATAAAAAAATAAATTACTAAGATAATAAGTGCTCCTAAAAAGTTCAAACAAGTTTATTTAGGGCAAATAAACTTCTTATTAAGCCTATTTATAGTAGATAAATTAAATAAACCACTTATTTTTAAAAGTTTTATTTTATTTTATCCCATTTCCACCAGTTACAAAAGCTTTGTTTCCATTTTTTCCTTTATTTTCACTTTTTTTCTTGTCCCTTCCTTCCTTTCTCCCTTCCTCCTCCCTCGTTCCCCTTCCCATTTGAACAATTTCTTCCCATTTCTCCATATTTATTATACATTTTAAGTCCTTATTTCCACTTTCAGTTCTCACACCAGAGAAACAATATGGTATTTAAACATGTGTGTCTGATTTATTTCACTTAAGAGTATGGTCTCAAGGTCCATCCATTTAGTTATAAATGTCTGAAGCCCATCCTAGTCCTCCATTGTATAAAAAAACCCCACATCTCCCTTATCCATTCATCGGTTGATGGGCATTTGGGCTGTTTACAAGATTTAGCTATCACAAATTGTGCTGCTATAAACATGTGTGCACATACATCCCCGTGGTATGATGCTTTTAATTCTTTCAGAAAGATACCAAGAAGGGAAATACCTGGGTCAAATGGAACCTTTAGTTTTAGTTTTTTGAGAAATCTCCACACTGATTTCCATAGTGGCTGTATCAGTCTACACTCCCATCAACAGTAGAGAAAGTTTCCTTTTTCCTCACGGCCCCACCAGCATTTGTTATTGGTTGATTTCTTGATAATAGCCATTCTTTCTGGAGTGAGATGGAATCTCAGTGTTGTTTTAATTTGCATTTCACAAATGACCAGTGATGTTGAACATTTTTTCATATATTTATTTGCCGTTTCTACTTCTTTATTTGAGAAGTGTCTTTTCATTTCAGATGCCCATTTTTTGGACTGGAAATAAACCTCTTATTAAGGCTCCTTACCACTGCCAACCTATTCACACACACATATGTGATTAGCTCATACCAAACGTCTTCTGTTACTTTTTTGTTTCTTTTTTTAACATAATGGTATTATCTAAGGACAGCTTTCCATGTCAGTACACTTAGATCTAACTCATTATTTCTAATGTCTGGCTAATATTTCATTCTCTAAATAATCCTAACAGTATACTTCTTTGTATTTCCAGGCTTTTTATGAGCATGTGAATTATTTATTTTGATTAGGCCCGGGCTAGTTAGACCTACTAGCCACATTGAAATTGTATGCAACTTTATTTTATGTATGTATATATATATATGTATTTATTTATGGTGCTGGGAATTGAACACTGGACCTTGTGCATGCTAGGCAAGAGCACTACCACTGAGCTCCAGATTTTAAATTAGTTTTTATTTAATTATTGTTGGTTTTTTGTTTTTGTTTTTTTGAGACAGGGTCTCACCATGTAGTTCGGGGTCACCTTGAATTCACTATGTAGCCTAGGCTGGCCTCAAACTTGTGACCATCCTCCTGCCTCCCAAGTGCTGGCATTACAGGTGTGTACCTCCGCACCTGGCTAAATTAGTTTTTATTTTTATTTTTTGAGACAGGGTCTTGTTATGCAGTCCAGGTTGGCTTTGAACTCACTATGTAGCCCAGGCTGGCCTCAACTTGTAGCAAAATTCCTGCCTTGGCCTCCCGAGTGCTGGGATTACAGGCATCTGCCACCACACCCAGCTAAATTATTTTTTAATATAGAACAAATTTACTATTAATTTTTAAATTTCAAATCTACAGAAAAATGTTCAAATTTTATTATAAAAATTAAAGTTTTTATAATAAAAATTTTATGCATTTATCACTAGAAATAGATTTGTAAAAACATTATTTTATGTAGAAATTAGGAAAAAAGCTGCAAGTTAATTGGAAGATACCATTGATTTTAGAGGGTTTTTTTTTTTTTTTTGGTACCGGGGATCGAACCACTGAACTAAATCCCTGGCCCTGACTTTAGAGTTTTAAAATATGCAAAATGGGAGTGTCTCAGTCTGTTAATATTGCTGTTACTGGAGTTCTGGAATTCAGTGGGCTCCTTCTACAAATTCTTTCCAGGTTCTTGTTCTGAACAAAGAATTGGACAAAACAAGCAAAAATGGTAGTGACTTTTACATTTATTAAAGGTGGGAAAAGGAATACATTCTGCAGTGAATGCAGGCCAATTAAAGTGGAAAAGAAGTACTCTCTGCAGGGTGACTGGGCCACTGAAAGTGCTTTCGGTGGCTACAAGGTTAATGTCTGCCATCTTTTGTATTCCTCATTCTGATATCAGATCTAGAATGTCCTATCAAAAACTTGCTTGATTTCATGACAGAAGAATTGAGATAGCTTTTTCTGATTGGTCTCAGGTGCAGGAGCTCTGTGTCCTGGAGCTCTGTGATTGACAGGTCATATGTCCTGGAGCTCCAATTAACAGGTCATGCTCACTTGCCCAGCCAACTAGCCATGCCCTAGTCTCCTGCCTCACTGCTATAACAAAATACTTGAGACTGGGTAATTTACAAAGAACAGAAATTTATTTCTCACCATTCTAGAAGCTCAAAGTCAGGGTTCTGTGTCTGGATGAGGCCTGGTATCTGCTTCCAAGATGGCATCTTGAACTCTGTGTCTTTTCCTGGTAGAAGGGATGGAAAGACAAAAGATCAAAAGAAAATGTATCCTTTAACCCTGAGCCCTTTTATATTGGTACTGATCCTATTTCTGAGGGCTCTACCTTCATCACTTCCCAAAGCTCATATCTCTGAATACTGTTGCAGTGGGGATTAAGTTTCAACATGAATATTTTTGAGAGGGACTCTATCATTCAAACCATAACAGGGAATCTTGGAATTGGTGAAGTAGGATAGTTGCTTCTTGGCTTTTTATTAATCAGAATCTTTGCATGGTCTTCCAGGCACTGCCAGGACCCTATGATCAGCTGACTCTTGCAGCCCAGACCCATGGAGTTAAATAGCTCTTCCCGTGTGGATTCAGAGTTTCGATACACTCTCTTCCCAGTTGTTTATAGTGTTATCTTTGTGCTGGGGATCATAGCCAATGGCTATGTGCTGTGGGTCTTTGCCCGCCTGTACCCTTCCAAGAAACTAAATGAGATAAAGATCTTCATGGTAAACCTCACTGTGGCTGACCTGCTTTTCCTGATCACCCTGCCACTGTGGATCGTCTACTACTCCAACCAAGGGAACTGGATTCTACCCAAATTCCTTTGTAACCTGGCTGGCTGCCTCTTCTTCATCAACACCTACTGCTCTGTAGCCTTCCTGGGAGTGATCACCTATAACCGCTTCCAGGCGGTAAGACATCCCATCAAGACGGCTCAAGCCACCACCCGAAAGCGTGGCATCGCTTTGTCCTTGGTCATCTGGGTGATCATTGTGGCTGCTGCATCCTACTTCCTTGTCATGGACTCCACCAACATAGTGTCCAATAAGGCAGGCTCAGGCACCGTCACTCGCTGCTTTGAGCATTATGAAGAGGGCAGCGAGCCTGTCCTCATCATCCACATCTGCATTGTGCTCGGCTTCTTCATTGTCTTTCTACTCATCCTCTTCTGCAACCTGGTCATCATTCGCACGCTGCTCACCCAGCCAGTGCAGCAGCAGCGCAATGCTGAGGTCAAGCGCCGGGCGCTGTGGATGGTCTGCACCGTTTTGGCAGTGTTCATCATCTGCTTTGTGCCACACCACATGGTACAGCTGCCCTGGACCCTCGCTGAGCTGGGGAAGTGGCCGAGCAGCAACCACCAGGCTATTAATGATGCCCATCAGATCACCCTCTGCCTCCTTAGCACCAACTGTGTCTTAGACCCTGTCATCTACTGTTTCCTCACCAAGAAGTTCCGAAGGCACCTCAGTGAAAAGCTTCACATCATGCGGAGCAGCCGGAAATGCTCCCGGGTCACCACTGACACAGGCACAGATGTGGCCATTCCAATCAACCACATTCCTGTCAATTCCCTCAAAATTTAGTCCCTGCTTACTGGGGTCAGGCCCAAAGTCTTCTCTTCCATGAGCAGCATGGATGAGGCAGGGGAAAGAAGAGACATCTACTATAGTCACCTCCTCCTTGGGCAGCGGTGGCCCGTTGAATATAAAGGCTACCTCACACAGGCAGGGATGATGGCTGTGCTGGACTGCTGGAGAATCCAGAACTTGAACAAACACCTTCATCCACTTTTGGGCACATCATGACCTCACCCTGCGCCCCTGGGTCTGATGGGGTTAGGAGGAACATGGGGGTCAGGAATAGACTCTGATGCATGCCCAGTTCATCCCATTGGGGTAGCAGCCTAAAGCTTCAGGCAGTGACTCCCAAGCGCCAAAGGCAAGGTGGGAAAGAGACTCTTTCCTGGCTGTGTGGAAAGATCTTTAGGGCAGAAGTTTGATCTAGGATTGTGTCTTTCTCTTTCTACTCACAGGTGCAGGTCTTTCCCAGGGGAAGTGGCCTGGTAGAATTTTCTGATTCAGCCAGCAAACCTGTACTGAAAGACAGCTACAGAAGGGAAAACATGAACAGAGCAAAAGCTAGGATGGGAGCTTAGTTCCTACACAAGACTTGCCTCAGGCCAGGTCAGCTCTCAGGGACTTAGAGAGAGGTGGCCTCTCCTTCATTTTTCTGCTTTAATAACAGACCCTGTGGGAGGACCTTCTGTGGGGCAGGAAGTCCCCACAGCAAAATTTGAGAGTGGTCAGGCCAGGGCAACTCAAAGTGCAGAGGCTTCCATGGGAACAGCACTTGGGCAGGAAGGGCCTGAGGTTTCTAGGTGGGAGAAGCCTACTTGATCTCTGGGAGGCCCCTCCTAGCCTAACTTCCTGGAGGTAGAAGGGACAGTTACAGTGGGATAGGCTGGCAGGTGTCAGCTTCTGTTGAGCTTCTCTAGACACCTGCTTGTGGTTTTTGGTAAGTATTCAAATGAGACTCCTCTTTCCCTTAGTCAAGTACTTGCAGTGTGAACCCCACAGCCTCAGACATGGGGCCTTGCAGGAGTTTTCCCTGGTGTCCAGTGCTTCTCTGAGAACTCTTCCTTCCTTCCAGCCAGAGTTCCATGAACTTGGGACTCTTGTTTTCTCTCTGCCAGGCAAGCACTGGATTGCTGATTTTGCTACATGTCTCCTAAAGGGCTAGTAGCCTGCTTGGGTCTGGGAGGGTAGCTGTGAGCTGGCCCTAGCTGATGGTGACCAGACCAGGTGGCCAGAGCAGCATTCTCAAGCTCTGGTGTCACGAAGACCCAAATTCAGTCTTGGATTTGTCACTTCCTGCCAAGGAACTGGGGACTCAATTTTCTACCTCTTAGTGTTGCCTGTGAGGTAAAACCTACCTCATTGGGTTGCTCTGAGCAACAAATGCCGAGAAAGACACCTCTTGGTCAGAGTGACTGCTCGTCCCAGACCCTCCCCTCTTCTCAGAACTTGGACCCTTCAGTCCTCCAGTAGGAGCTGAAAGAATAAGAGGTGGGCATCTGGATTCAGAGATGCTGCTTTAGGCTTTGCAGGCCACTTAGTCTGAGCTGTGAGTGTGTTTATGTGTGTTTGTGTGTGAAGGGGGTGGAGTGGGTGTGTGCAGGGGTTCTTCACCTGCCTGACTGTGGTAGAGAAAATGGCTCTGCTCACGGAGAAAATTTGCAGAGCAAAGCAGAAGCCAGAGAGAAGTGACAGGAGCATGGAGGGAAGAAGGGACAGATCTCCCAGGGGCCTGCTGGGTGGCTGTCCTCTGCGTACCTTCCATTGTGTCCAAGAGAGTCTTTTTATCTTGCTTAAACTGATTGGAATGAGTGTCTATTACTTGTAACCAGAAGTGCTACAAATAAAGTGTATGTCTATGTGCTAATGCACAGCATTTACATCTCTCCTTGCAAGCTCTGTAATGTCCATATATCAGCTGTAAGTTTACTTAATTAATATTTTTCTTTAAATTGAGTCAGTTTTTAAAACTCACATTTATCAAAAAAGAATTTATAATTGTAGGTGAAAAAATGCCACCTGCCACACCTAGAAGGTAAACATAAAAATGAAAATAAAACTATTAAAACTGTTGCTCTGTGTTCTGTCTGAAGTTACCCCATGTCCCCAGTGATTTGCAAAGCTCACTTCAGGAAACCCTGCTGTTGTGTGTATCAAGTGCCTGAAGTCTGCATTCAGTAAGTGCTCAATAAAGAATAACTGACAATTCTGAGATGGTGACTTGTGATTACCCCCTTGCTTTTCCTAGGATATTGTCCTAACATGTAGGTCTGGGTCTTACTTCCACCCAGGCCTCTGGGGTATGGCAAGAGCATACAGTTGGCCCTCTGTATCCATGGGTTCCACATTCCCATATTCAACCAATTGCTTGTTGAAAATATTATAGAAATAAAATCGGGTCTGTACTGAACATGTAGAGATTTCTTCCTTTGTCTCATTTCCTAAACAACACAATATGACAACTATTTATATAACATTTACATTGCTTTAGGCATCATAAGTAATCTAGAAATGATTTAAAGTAGTAAGAAGGGGGCTGGGGATTTAGTTCAGTGGTTCCACCACCTGGCCTGCAAGTGCAAGGACTTGAGTTCGATCCCCTGTACCAATAAAACCAACAACAAACAAAAAATAAAGTAATAGGAAGAGGTGAGGAAGATGTTTACAAATATTATGCCATTTGATTTAAGTGACTTGAGCATCTGAGGATCTTGGTATCCATGGGGGGCATGCAACCAAGCCCCTTTGGCACCCCAAGCTTGAGTGTAAGGTTGTAGCCATGCTTTGGCCCTGCTGATCTCATCACTGCCCCAAATACAGTCCCATTTATTTCCCCTGAAACCTTTGCCTGGTTATGAACTCAGGCTCATCTTCTGTTTGACCCAGCCCAGAGCACTCAGATTCCTCCAGGCAACATTTTAGGACTGGGAGGGCCCAACATTTTAGCTCTTAATTGCCAAGATTATTGAGGTTCATGCACGTCAGAGTCTGTCTCCCCTATCCTGTGGGGCAGGAATGTTATTTTAATCATCTATGAATCTAGTTTCCTATACACGGCCTGGAATTGAGATCTGCCTGTCACCAGAGCGTATGGCTTCCCCAGGGTGTAGCATAAACACATATTGCATAGATATACACTTATTTTGAACAATTTAAGGAGACTTTCCAGAGACAAAGGGGAAAGAAATTCAATACATGTTCTTTCAAAGCTCGATGGCCATATATGAAAGAAAGATACACAGAATTTTTAGAGGATCAGAACATTTTGGGGCTGGGAGGGTCCAACCTCTTCATTTTACTAAGAGGAATAAGGGGCCTGGAGGTGTTAAGTTATCACACAAGTTGCACAGAGTGGAACTGCAGCAAATGCAGGACTGGGTGTTCACCCGCATCTCTGTTCCTGCAGCAGTGTCAGAGATTATGGCAAAAGCTGAGTTGTAATTTTTTTCATGACCCTTCACTGCTTGGAACTTCCAAGGTATTCCACGTACCAGGAAGGTCTCACCTTGCATTTCCCCCTGGTCTCTTCCTTCTCCATTGTCCCAGGGAACTATCACAATCTCAGTTGGAAAACCCTTGGCTCCTGCAAGACCTGGTGTCATCAAGATGAGTAATAAACACTAGACTGGATAAGGACAGGTCACAGTTGATTAGAACTGGGCATGTTTATACTTATTTTTGCTTATCTATGCTAAGGCCACAAGGAGATATAATAAAATCTCTTGGAAGCTCCTGGGTTTTGCAGAGACTTGGTATTTCTGTGGAACAAATCATGTTGCCCATGTCATCTTGCCAGTGAGCGGTCTTCCCACTCACTTATCCATCTGTCCACCAACTGCCTGTCTATCCATCCATCTACCCCCACATTTAGAAAAAACTCCAAAAACTCCTATGGAGTGCCTATTTTGGTTCAGTGACTATGCTAAGCATAGTTATCTGTTATTTTACTGAAACCTCATACCCTCCCTGAAAAGTATGTGGTTCTATCCCCACATTAAAGAATAGAATAAACGGGTGTGGTTGCACCCAGTAATCCCAGCACTCTGGAAGGCTTGAGGCAGGAGGATAGCAAGTTCAAGCTCAGCCTGGGCAACTTTGTGACTTAGTGAGACCCTGTCTAAAAATAAAACATAAAAAACAGCTGGGGATGTAGTTCAGTGTAAAGTCTCCAGGTTCAATCCCCAGTACTGCAAATAAACAAGCAAATAAAAAAATTTTTTGTAGCTTAGTGTGAAAGCCCCTGGTTTAATGTCCTATATAGCAAACCGCCCCCCCCAACCCAAAAAGAATAAACAAGGACCCAAGCTGACTGACCAAGACAGTGGCTACCTTTCAGGTATTGATGCAGAAGGAAGGAGGCCTATGTTTTTGTTAAGCCCTAGTTATTTGCTTGCCACTTTCACTTATCTTTTCTCTTTGAGCACCTACCTATAGCCCTGTACAGAGTATTTTCATGCCTTGTATTAGCCAGATTTCTGTTGCAGTAGCAAAATACCTTAAAGAAAAAAAGGAATTTTAAATTTTTTATTTCATTTTTTTGGAGACAGAGTCTTGCGTTGTAGTTCAGGCTAGGCTTAAACTCACTATGCAGCCCAGGCTGGCCTCAAAGTTCCAGCAATCCTCCTGCCTCAGCCTCTCAAATGGTGCAATTACAGATGTGCACCACCATACCCAGCAGAAAAGGTTTATTTTTGACTCATGGTTTTAGAGGTTTCAGTCCATGGTCACTTGATTATATTGCTTCCGGACCTGTGGTGATGCAGAACATCATGGTGGAGAACACGTGGTAGAGCAAAGTGGCTTACCTCATAGTAGACAGGGGAGAGAGGGAGAGAGAGCAAGATATAGCCCCAGGGGGAATGCCCCTAAGATCTGTTCCTTCCAACTATGTCTCATCCCTTCAGTTTACATCCTCCCCATAGCCCATCAGATTATGAAATTTGTGATGGATCAATCCATTGATGAGATCAGAGCCTTCATGATCTAATCTCTTTCCCAAAATTCCACCTCTGAACATTGCTGGATTGGGGACCAAGCCTTTGGGAGACAGTTCATATTCAAATCATAATATTCCAATCCTAGCCTCCAGGGGCTCATGACCATCTCATAAGGCAAAATGTATTTAGTTCATCTCCAAGACTCCTGATAGTCTTAATAGTTGCAGGATTGCTCAGAAGTCCAAGTCCAAGGCAAACTCTGAGACTCAAGGCAAACTTTTAGCAGTAAGCCCCAGTAAAAATAAAAAATCAAGTTACATATATTCAACAGACAATGTTGGAATGGGGTAAACATTTCTATTTCAAAAAGAAGGCATTGGAGAATGGCAGGGACCAAAACAAGACTGAAACCCAGTAGGGAAAATGTTAAATCCTATAGTTCCTTGGCCATCATCCAGGGCACATTCTGGTGAGATGAGAGCCTGCCTCAGAAGGCTTATGCAGCCTTAAGGTCTTGTTGGCTGCAGTCCACATGATCTCTCTCTCTTGATCTGGCTCCACTTATTGCATGCAGCTTCCCTTGATAGATATTCCATATTCCTGGTATCTTTAATTTTCTGTGACTCCACAGCTAATTCAGCTTCACTCTCACAACTTCATGCACTGTCTCTCAGGAGCTGCCCACAGGGACTCTAATTCTGACACACACTGCCTGGCCTCCCAGGCTTTTAAAAAAACATCTCAGTAGAAGCTTCCATGACCCCACAATTTTTGCATTATGCATGCCTGCAAAATCAACATCATGTGGATGACACCAAGCTCTGCCACCAGTCAGAGTAGTAATGGGGTCCCCTAGGACCATGGCTGTAGAAGCCTCTGGGTGCCTAGATGGCTGAGCATAGTGAAAAAACTGTTCATGGGGAAACAACTTTTTTTTTTGATACAGGGTCTCAATATGTAGTTCAGGCTTCCTTGAACTCACTATGGAGCCCAGGCTGTCCTCAAACTCATGGCAATCCTCCTACTTGAGCCTCTCAAGTGCTGGGATTACAGACATATGCCACCATGCCTGGCTACTTGGCTTCTTTTTAATGGCACTAATTTCTTCAGCAATCACATCTTCCTTGGCCCTGATTTTAAATAGCTTCTTTTTTTGACCAAACTGCAAGTTTTTCAAACCTTTCTGCTCTGCTTTTTGTTCAAAAATTCTCCCAGTAAATCTGATTGAAAGCAGTGAGCAATTCTGATGTCACAATTTACATGCTATGCTGCCTTGAAATTTCCTCCACAAGATAAAGTAATCTGTCACCGTTATTTATTTATTTATTTATTTATTAAATTTTTTGGTACCGGGGATCGAACTCAGGTTCTTGCACTTGTGAGACAGGCAGCAGAACCACTGAGCTAAATCCCTGGCCCAATCTGTCACCTTTAAATTGAGCCTCCTATAGTCTCAGGGCACGGGCAATCTGTAGACAAGTTTGGGGACAGAATGTAACATGAATAGCCTCTAGTCACAACAACAGTCTCACCTCTTGGTACCAAATTTCTCTATTACACTTCTATCACTGTGACAAAGTACCAAGAAAAACAACTTAAAGGAGGTAGGATGTATTTTTACTTGTGGTTTCAGTTCATGGTCATGGGCTCTGGGCCCATGGTGATACAGGTGGGAGGCTTGTGGTGGAACAAGGTGGATCACTTCATGGCAGAGAGGAGTCAGAGAAAGGAAGGGCCTGGGAACAAGGCATAGTCCCCAAGGACCCACTCCTCGACTAGGTTCCATCTTCTAAGTTTCCATCATCTCCTAATAGCCTACTGAATTATGAACTCATCAATAGGTTAATTCATCGATGATGGCAGAGCCTTCATGATCCAATCTTCTCAAAAGCTTCATCTATGAATATCACTGCACTGGGGACAAAGCCTTCAAAGTCTTCTGGAGATATTTCACATCTAAATCAAAATGTCCATTTTATGGATGGGGTAAATAAGGCTCAGAGGTGTTCAGTGTTTGATAAAAGAGCTAGTAAGTGGTTGAGTAATATTCAAAGCCAGATCTGCCTTAGTGAGTATAGGTTCCTTCCCTTCTCTCCTTCTCCCAGTGACTGTACCCTCATCCACACCACTCTAGGCACATTCTACTATGTACTGGGTCAGGAATCTCCTGAGGGGAGTAGGAGATGTTGGGGCTTCCAGATGGCTGCTTCTAGTTTCCTCTTTGAGGTCTCTTGTGCTCCCTATGCAGGCTGAACTTCCAAGCTCAGGCCTCTGT